TCTCAGTCTTCCCGACTGTCAAGTGGGGCTAAGGTCGGTTTCGCCAGAAACCAAGGTATCTAGTTTGCTCAAACCATTCAAGGCAGGAAGGGTAGGGAAAAACACAGGGCTCCAGGCTTTGCCTGTTCTTACATAAATCCTTGCCTGGCGTGTGAGAGCCCCGGCTGTAAATCTTGAGAAGGTCACTCAAGTCCTCCAAAGCTCAAACTTCTCATCTCTAAACAGGGGGGAAACGGTACCTACCTGACAGGGTCTTTCTAAGGATTACGGGAGATACAGCAGGCGCCCAAGGCTGCTGCCACGGTTAGTACGATCACTCACACGATCCCTACCTAAGTCAGGGTCATCACCACCGTGCTCTTCACCATCGCTCCCTCCTCCTCCTCTTTCTCCTCCACCCTCTTCACCATCCACGCCACCAGTATCACCCGAGGGCCAGACTCCCAGGTCCAAATGCCTAGAGTCCACGAAAGTGGCCAAAGGCCATTTCCGAAATTCCAGAGGGACCGGTGAGGTTGTGGCTTCATGGGATGTCCTCACCGCCAAGGAGTGCAGGAGAGGAGAAAATCAGGAAAGAAGAGCCCCCCCCCCCCCACAACCCCGGCCAAAACACAACATGGTGCAGGGCAGGGGCCTGACTGGGAGGAGCCAGGCTGACTAGGTCCCAGTGGAGACTCTGTCACACAGCATCTATGTGCCCTGGGGAGGGTCGATAACCTCTCTGAGCCTGTCTCCTTCTCTGATAAATGGGGATAGAACATCTGCTCCCATCTGTGGTGAGGACTCTGCTGGGCGCACGGATTTCAGCAGGGACTCAGGAGCGGGGGGCCGTAAGTCACCTGAACAGCTGAGTGAGCGTAAGTTCCTACGGCCACTGGGCCGGGCCACACCTGGCTGATGCATGCTCCTGCCCACCTGCTTGGTTCATGCGGGGCTGCCTCAGCCCGTGTGGACTCTAACTTGACTCCTTGACATTTCACACTGACGCCGCCTGATTCCAAATCTCTGACCCGGCCGGGAGAAAGAAAGAGCGACAAGAAGAAGCTACAGGTTCACTCTAGCCTGGCTTGGCACCAAATTGAAAAGCTGTAATCAATGGTCTCGCAAACGGGGAATCTGTTTACAGGGTCCTTGTGTTTGTGCCTACATTCTCAGAGCTAACCCTTGGCTTACTGAAGCCAGGAGCGGTGTCTTGGCCACGATCCTCTGGGGAAAACATCTCTGAAGGTCCAAAGCGTGTTTGCATTTACAAGTGTTGACGAGGGGGTGGTCTGTTTCAAAAGACTCCTGCTGCCTGCCCAGTGGCTGTTCATTTAGAGCTCACATCTTCACTTGGAGGGACCTGAATTCTAAAATGCTCTTTGAAATAAAAGACACGTTTTAATACAACCCTCAAATGCTTAGAAAACACACACACACACACACACACACACACACACACACACACAGAGGCATGAACTACCTTTCAAGAAGCCCACGAAGAAGTTGACAATCTCAGCTCTTCCCAGATCTGGGAGCTGCTCTGTGCCTCAGTTTGCCCACAGAAAGGACTACGTGTGTTCCACCCAGTTAAAACTATCCAAAGAGAGAAGGGGCTTCCTTGGGAAGCGATAAGCTCCTAATCCCTAAGGGTATGGAGGCAGAGGGTAGACAGCACATGTAGTGGGGTGGAAACAGGACACATAATATTGGGTAACTAAATGCTTGGGGGTCCTTCGGGATCTCACACGAATCTGAGGCTCTAGAGTTTTGAGTTCAGGCAAGATGAGTTTATCACGGTAAATGGGACCTGATTTTCTAGCATCTTCTGCCATTGATGGAAAGAAAGGTGACGTGAGGAAAAGAAAAGGTTTGGAGTCCTGGTTCTACCTTGGTTCTATGGCGTCCTAGCTGTGTGACCTAGGATAGGGCATTCAGCCTCTCTGAGCCTCGGTTCCTTCATCTGTTGGGGAAAAGAGGGAATGAAACCTGCCTACCGAGGTCATAAGGATAAATGAGGCAATGCACACTACGCTCAATAAATGCTCACTCCCTTCCTCCTCTAGCCGATGGATACAGGGGCAGACAGGCACGTCATTGAGCCCCACAAGCTCCCCCCTCCACCAGATGCCAGGGATCAGACACTAGCAATCTCCCCAGGCCCTTCGGAAAGAAAAGCACTGCCCTCCTTCAATGCCAGCTCTTGGCCCCTCCAAGGCCCTCACATCCTCCCGCCACTGGACCTTTGCACAGGCCATCCCTCTGTCTGAAATACTAATTTCTCTCCTTTCTCCAGTGCACCTGGTTAACTCCTGCCAAACACTCTAATTTCAGCTTGTGAGTGGCTTCCTCGGGGGGACCTTCCCTGCCATAGACCAAAACAGCCCCGTTAACACATTTTCACAGCCCCGGTACCTTCTTCCGGATTACTGATTAAAGTCTATGTTCCCCTTGACTCCTCAGAGGCGTGGTCCACATTAACTTTGCTCATTGCTGTATTCCCAATGGTGTCCCACAGGTATGTGCTGAGCGAAAGAAAGGGTCCTTCCCTGCCTGTGCCTCTGACCGTCTGCTCCCCGCCTTGGCGCCCAGGGTATAACCACACAGATGCTCGCTGACCGCTGTCTGTGGCTGTTCTCACTGTCTGGCTGTTCCACCAAACGCCCTGACCACAACGCCCAGGCCCAGATGTTGGTTCTCCTCCCTGCCCACGGCCTCCCTGTGCTCTGGCACAGCTCCGGGATGTGGGCTCCCTGCGTCCATTCCACCAAGGATCTTTCACGAGCATTGTCCGGTGCCCGGACTCCGCCCACCATCCTGCATGGTGTTCTCACAAGAAACAACTCAGCAACAACACCGACAACGACAGTCACCCTGGGCCCGAGTTGTCAGTCAGCCTGGGCCTGTCGGATCTGGTCCCACCCTGACCTGGGGCCCCGTGTGTAGAAGTCACGCTGTGTCACCTCTAGGGCTTTCAGGGGCTTTCCTGGGAGCTGGCTGGGGCTCGTGTGCTGGGCCAGCACCCAGAGTGATGGGCAGAGGCCAGCTTTTCTCTGGCAATTCAAGATGGGCCAGTCCCCAGGCCGCCAGGAAGCCCTCCCTAGCCATTTGTGTAGTCCCTGAAGGTCCCTCTTAGGACCCTCTTGGACTGCAGTGCCCCGTGCTGGCTGGCTTCCTCCCTGGGTTCCCCTCAGGAGGGGGCTGTGTGTGGGGCCCACTGCATTTCCCTGGCTGCACCAGTGAGTCTTAGGGAGACCAGGGTTTCCCAGGCCAGGGCCTGCTCACAATGCCTGTGATAATTTCTTCACTAATGGCTCAGTCCTGGAGCCCAAGATTCACTCCCGTGAGAATTCAGAGGCTCTGGATAGTTGCCCCATGGGGACAAGATGGCAGTGGCTGGGGTGGGGCTGGGTTCGTTGTATCTCCTCCCTGGGGTGGCTCTGCACGTGACAGTCAGGCCATAGAACTGTATTTTTCCAGAACCTTGAGTTGGTTTTGGAGAGGGATGGGAGATGAGGCCGTCTGAGCTGGCCTTTTGGAGGTGGTTTAGGTAATTGGTGGGAAGTTCCTCTGGATGGAATGACTGGAGATTTTGTTATTACTCAAGCAAGGACAGAGCCTCATTTGGGAACAGATGTATGGCCATATGGCTCATTTCTCTTCCCTTTCCCTCCCTTCCTACCCTCACGATTTCTCATCTAAGAGCCATCATGACCAGGCTCTGAGCTTAGGACCAGAACCAAGGTCGGTGAGGGTCTAGGATGACCCGGAGGCGTCCGGCTTGGGAAAGTGGGTGGTCATGATGCTGTCCACTGATACGGGGACTGGGGTTTGTTTGGGTGCAGGGAATACAGTGAGGTCAGCTTTGGACATGCTGCATCCGAGGGTCTAGAGGACTCCTGGGTAGATGTCCAGCAGGTGGTTGGGACTTTGGGGCTGAAGGCAGAAGGGAGACCTGGCCTGGAGAGATGGACCTGAGGGGCCCAGAGTCAGGGAGCAAAGCCACGGTAGCAGAAGGAACGATCCAGATGAGTCATGGGGAGAAAGAGGCTGCAGAAAACCCCATGATACAACCACTGAAGAAAGAGGCACTGTACTTCAGTGTTTCTAAGCAGCGCCCCACAGATTACTTCTTAATTACAGAAGAAATGACGGTGCTGTCCAGGGGACAAGCCCAGCAGCCACCCCCTTAATCACGTGCTCAGAGTTAGCATCAGGGATGCTGGGGCCCTACCGACACCGGGGGTCTCCCAGGAAGATGCGCTAAGAGCCCAACATCACCCGTGACGTTCCTGCCAGAAATGCACAACCTGACTCCAATCACAAGCACGTATCAGGGAAACATACTTTGAGGGACATTCCATCACATCTCTGACCTGTGCCCAAGGTCAAGAAAAACTGAGGGATACCTCTAGCCCAGAGGAAAGAAAAGGCATGCAGCAACTGAATGCAACGGGTTGATCCTGGATTGGATCCCTCACTGGGAAGAGAAGCCTATAAGAAAGACCCGAAATGGAATACTAAGACGATGGCGTATTACCCCATGACCAAAGGAGTTCTCGAGCAACAAAGAAACCTGTGCAGGAATCTCAGATGCATGTTATTGAGTGAAAGAAGCCAATCTGAGAAGGCTACGGACTGATTCCAACCGTATGACATTCTGGAAAAGACTAAACTATAATGACAGTAAAAAGATCGGTGGTTGCCAGGGGATGGGTGGGTGGAGCACAGAGGAGTTTTGCGGGCGGCGAAGCTGTTCCGTGTGACACACCACGGTGGATACGTGCTATTACACATTTGTCCAAATCCATAGAATGTATGATGCAAAAAGTGAACCCCAGAAAACCCTAAACTATGGGCTTTAGTTAACAGTGATGAGCCA